CCCCCATGGACCTCCATGGCCCTCAATGGCCCCCACAGCCCCCCATGACCTTCCATGGATCTCCATGGTCCTCAATGGCCCCCCACAGCTCCCCATGGCTCTCCATGGGCATCCATGGCTCCCTATGGCTTCCCATGGCTTTCCATGGCCATACACGGCCCCCCATGACCCCTCATGGCTCCCCCACAGCCTCCCATGGTCCTGCACGGACCTCCATGGACCTCAATGCCCCCCCCCCCCATGGCTCTCCATGCACCTCCATGGCTCCCTATGGCTTCCCATGGCCTTCTATGGCCCCCCATGACACCTCATGGCCCCCCACAGCCCCCCATGGCCCTCCATGGACCTCCATGGTTCTCAATGGCCCCCCACGGCCCCCTATGGCTCTCCATGGATCTCCATGGCTCCCTATGGCTTCCCATGGCCTTGCATGGCCCTCATGGCCCTCCATGAGCCTCTATGGCTCCCTATGGCTTCCCATGGCCTTCCATGGCCCCCAACAGCCCCCTATGGCCCTCCATGGACCTCCATGGCTCGCCATGACTCTCTATGGCCTTCCATTATCCTCCATGGCCCTCCATGGCCCCCCATGGCCTTCCATGGCCCCTCATGGCAATCCATGCCCCTCCATGGCCTCTCATGGCCCTCCATGGCCCCCCACAGCCCGCTATGGCTCTGGACCTCACTGCTCCTATTGCCTGGATCCCACTGAACCCCACGGTGCTGTATTTGTCCCTGTGCTACTGTCACTGTCCCCATGAAACAGGACCAACCCCATGAGATCATCACTGGTCCCATAGAGACCGCTCACATAGCTGCAGTAATGGGCTAAGCTCTTCCAAGGAGCTGTCATCCATGGATTCAGAACCATCCCCATGGATCTAGAATCATCCCCATGGAGCCAGAACCATTTCTCTATGGATCCAGAACCATTCCCATGGAGCCAGGACCAATCTTATGAATCCAGAGCCATCCCCATGGAGCCAGAACCGTTTCTCTGTGGATGCAGAACCATCCCCATGGATCCAGGACCTGTCCTGTGGATCCAGAGCCATCCCCATGGAGCCAGAATCATCCCCCTACGGATCCAGGGCAATCCCCCGGATCCAGAACCATCCCCATGGATCCGGGACCAATCCTCTGGATTCAGAACCAGCCCTACGGAGCTCCCATCACCTCCATCACTCTATCACCAGTCCCACAGAGCTATCCTCATCCTCACCCCCATCCCATAGAGCTGCCCTTCCCACCTACACTCCCCTTCCCTACCCCCCCTGGGCACCCACCAGCCCTTCAGCTCCGGGTCCCAACGAAGTGACCGCCAGGTCGTTGCCGTTTGGGTCGAAGGCGTTGATCTCGATGCCCCAGTTGTTCTGAGGTTGCTTGAACCAGTTCTGCAACACGTGCTTGAAGTCGATGCTCTGCCAGTGCCCGATGCGGGAGTTGAGGTCGATTTTGAGCGAGCGGATGCGGATGTGACGGCTGCCTTCCTCTGTCACCGGCTTGAGGCGGAGGATTTGCAGGTAGACGGTGGAGGTGTGCTGCACCGGGCGCAGGTACACCCACAGCTGAGCCTTCACCACTTTGGTGAACATGATCTTGGGGCTGAAGTTGAAGAAGCAGCAGTGGGGGTTGCCCTCAATCTGCACCACGGGATCGGCTGCGGAAGGAAGGATGAGTTAGGGGCTGCACCCCACCAGGAATCCCCGCGCCCCCCATCTCTTGCACAACGCTCCTCCTCGATCGTTAGGAGGTGAAGGTCGGGGCAGAGGCCGCCCCAGGGGTCATCGCCCCTCTGTCCACAATAAGGTCCGGGTGCTGCCCCCTGACCCCGTGTCACCGCGGATTCATGATCCCCTGCAGGGCTGCAGGGATGGGGGAGCGGGGCCAGAGCACCTGCAGAGCGCGTGGTTGGGATGGGGCAGCCCTCACCCTCCCGCTGCCTGCAGCCGGGGACCCACAGCATCTCTTGGGTGGAGACCCACAGCGTTCCCAGCCAGAGGCCCGGTGTATTTCCCAGACAGAGACCCACAGCATCCTCAACTGGAGACCCACAGCAATCCCTGCATGGAGACCTTCAGCATCTTCAACCAGATACAGGGAGCGACCCCGGGGGTGGAGACCTGCATTGTCCCTGGCCAAACGCATCCCCTGCACGGAGACCCCCAGCAGCCCCCCGCCCCACCGCGTGCCCCCTCCCACAGGCAGCACACAGCAGAGCACTGGGAAGGGTGCACAGTGCTGAGCTCCCCCTGAATGTAGTGCTGGCACCCTGGAGCTGTGGGTGAGGCCGCTTCACCCTGGGGTGATGCAGTGGGGAGGCCGCCCTGGGGACCCCCACCCATGAGTACCCCCATCCAAGGGTACCCCCCGATCCTCTACACCCCAAAGATGCACCCGCCCTCCCCCAGCCCTATGGCAGCACCTGGCCCTGTGCAGCCCTCCCTGCTTTCACACACATCTGTGTCAAATTGAGCTGGGAATGTCCCCCCCCCACACACCCCCCACAACCCCCCCCCTCATCCCCGCGAGCCCCCCTCCTCCTGCCACGCACCGGTCAGGTTTAATAGCACCCAGCTGCAGCACGGGGCCATTTGCTGCACACGGGGCCCTCCCCGAACACATCGGGGTCACGACACCGGCCGCAGCCCCGGGAATGCCATCCATCCATCCATCCATCCATCCATCCATCCATCCATC